AAAGTTTTTTTTTTTCTGATGGAAAAGGGGATACAGTTTCGATTCTTTACCCGGGTATTTTTTTTTAAGCATTACGCCCCGAGCAAGGCGTGAAGCCACTAGGATGCAGGGGTTGCAGAAGATTTGGAGCGAGAGCAGATAGGAGTGATAGAAGAAAGGATGAGGAGAGGGATAGTGAATAGATCAAGGTATGTTTTATCATCTCTGGCAACTGAGGAAAATAAATACGGCGAGGTGCCCGGTCCCCGAGATCAAGCACCGCACGCATTGCACTAAAGAGCGGAGATCAATAGTCGCAAACTACTTTTGTCCTTGGCCCGGGTATAAATGTTCGGTTTCCCTGCGTTAAACCCGACCTTGTGTCACATCCCGTCTCAGTCGGGAGATGAGGGGTTCGATTCCTGTTGGAGGCACATTCTTTGTTTTGTAGGACTTCTCAATCTGAAACCAGTTATTATTAAATTTGACTGTTTCAGAAACTACGACTATTAAGGAGAGAGGACAATTAAAAAACAAGAATTAGATGACAGAAGATAATGATGGACATTGCATTTAAATTTTTGAAGATCAAAGGCAATAAAGCCACTAGGACGTAAGGGGTTACTGAGTGTTAGAGAATATGAGAAAAACTACTATTAAGGAGAGAAGACAATAAAAGAACAAGAATTAAGACGACAGAAGAAAGGGCTAACTATCAATTCTAAGAAGATAGAATGTATGATCGTCAATAAAAGAAAAAGCCTAAGCTTCGAGCTAGGAATTGGAGATGTCAAGATGAAGTATATGTTTAAAGATCTACGTTGGCGCATTGGGATGTCGAAATATATGTTCCAAAAGCTGGCCACGAAATCCATGGTTGTTAGCAGAACGGAACTGTCCAACATGCAAACTAATAACTGGAGATACCAAAATCAAACAAGTACAGAAATTTAAAAATAGGGAAGAAAGTGCGACACATAAAGTCCATTTGGATAACGAAAGATGCCTTCCAAAAGCTAAGCAAAGTATTAAGGAATAGGGAAAATTCGTTAGAATCAATCTTCCTACATAGCGGTGAATACTGAACAATGTGGTTCTACAGAAGGTTGCTGAGAATACTACGGAAGGAGCATGTAAGCAGCTTGGTGAATTTGACACCCACAAGACACTGAAGGCAAGAGACAGAGGGAGACAGTAAGTAACGTACCCAAAGATGCTAGAATAGTTAGTGGGAGGTATAATGAAAAAACAAACGTTACTAAGAGTTACAAAGGATAAGATGTTGTGGAGAGCCATGCCCGCCCAAGTTTTGAAGGGACACAACACAAAGTGGGAAGGTTCAAGCTCAATTACATTATTGGCGTTTGACGTCATGGAGCAATATATGAAATAGGAGACATTACTTTGTAGAAAATGGCGTTGGCGGCTCTCCACAGAATCCGTTTTTTTTTGTTTTGTTTTGTTTTTTTGTTTGTTTTTTTTTGTAATCTACGAATTGTCTTCTTGGAGTGACTTTATAAGCAGTTTTAACTAAGGAACTGCTTTATCCTGTAAAATGCTGAAACCAGGCATTTTTGTTGATTCATATCGGAAAGGATTAGCCACCAATTGGTTAATTCTAGAATCAACATTTGTTTCATTCTTGCGTCACTTAATTTACGATCCTTTTATGGAAACAAAGAATGCGTTCTTTGTCAGCAGAGAAACGGGTGGGCAGATGAGCCATTATTCACTGTCTGATTCCAGTCAATGATTTCTCTTTCTTAGCGCCGTCACAAAATGGCTGTTTATGCAGACAACACCCAGTAATTGATCCGCGGGGCAATAACCCCAATAAAACATGCCCCCTTGTTATTTGGTTTTACCCCTCGTCCTACATTTGTTGGTACCAGCATGCATAAACATAATTATCTCTGTCGTAACGCTTCGTGTCTTCGGCGTGTTTTACAAGAACCCGCAATTCGATGTCTGGGATAAATCCCTGGCCGAATTCTGCCAATGTGTGGCAAAGAAAAGCTGAAAAGAAGGCAGGAAATACAAAATCTCAATGTGATATTCAAATCACTTACATCCTACGCAGCCATTTTTCTGTGACATAGGTCCGGTTATAAGTTACTTTATCTACTATTCAACACTGCAACAACGGCATTTTAAAATGACGTAGACGCAGTTACATCCAATCATCGTTGCTTATTACGTCACGCATGCCGGAAACTGGCGATACCATCTTCTGCACACAATGTTCCGCCTTCTTCTTTAATGTTCTGTCTTTACGAAATTTTCGGGTGTGATACAAAAAGAAAGGAAGAATATGCAGCTCTCTATGGCTAACCACAGTTTTAGAAACGATTTGTTTTATCTATATAAATATGTCGTTCCTACTTGTGGTTCATCAATTGCTTACCTGCTTCGGTTGGAGATTCTTTTTTCTTGAAGAATTCCTGCTGCTATCTGCTATTCATTTACAACATCAAAGATGGACAAACATATCTTGGGCAGTGTTTGCTTGTTCGGCCTTTTAATGGTAAGTTACCATTTCCTACACATTTGCTTTGTGTCAAGACGAAAAAAAAAAGAAATATGTTAATCTACATAAAAGATACTCTAACGAGAACATGCAGATATACATTAATGAATGGTGTATATATATATATATATATATATATATATATATATATCCTTCCACTTGCCTGAGGAAACCTCACAGTCGAAACCCGGGGTTGCGAGGTTGGTTGGCATTTTAGACTTTTTGATATATATATATATATATATATATATATATATATATATGATGAGATAAATAATAAATGGTAAAAGTTTATCTATCTAACATGTTTCGCTTTAAATAAAGCTTCATCAGAGAATGAGATATGGAGAAAAAGAAGAAAGAAATTCTGGTATTTTTATTGTTGTTTTATCTGATTTTTATTAGTCAAATCAAACGTGATACATGTTCGATTGATAAACATTTCCTATTTGTTCTTTATCATACCATTCTGCCAGTTTCGGATCTATATTTGAACTTCAACTTATATATATATATATATATATATATATATATATTTATATATAACGAAATAGACTAAGTCTGACAATTATTTTTATTATATCATCTGTTTATACGTTATTTTTATCGATACAAATATTTAAGTAAATGATCTGCTTATAATAAACAGTATTAACAACATTTACAAACCTCAATGTCCGAGGAAATTCATAGAAAATATGTCTCCTCCGTGTAGGATACAGGTTCGATTCCTGCCAGAGGACACTTATTTTCTATGAAATTTCTCGTAAATGTTGTCATTACTGTATATTATAAACAGAGCATTTACTTAAATATTTGTATCTTTAAAAATAACGTACAAACAGAAAATATATTTTTTAAAAAGTATATATATATATATATTCGAAAATTATAACATAAATATGTTATAAAATCACTACAAAAATAGCCATTTTGTTTCAACACTTCCGGTGTCTTATCAAGTGATTGTGTTGAATGTAGAATAAAGGTAGAATCCCTTTATTCTACATTCATCACTTTTGTAGTGATTTTATAACATATTTATATTATAATTTTCGAATAAATAATTATATTTTCTTTACTCTGTATTGAGCACTCTTTTAAGAATAGTATTTATTGGAATTTATTCTGTATACACCAATCCTATACTTGTATATATATATATATATATATATATATATATATATATATATATATATTAAGAAATGGACAAGGTCCGACAATTTATTTATTAAAGACATTTTTATGTTTATCGTTGTTATTTATAGATACAAGTATTTAAGCAAATGCTCTGTTTATGATAAACAGTATTAAATAACATTTACCGGCCTGAATGTCGAGAAATTTTCATAGAAAATATTCGTTCTTTGACAGGATTCGAACCTGCATCCTATACGGAACCGTCATTTACGCTGACGTGCCTTAACCGTCTCGGCCACAAAGAACCGGTAGTGAAGTTTATAAGCAGTAAATTCGACCTTGTCTGCCGAAAGGTTCTTTGTGGCCGAGACGGTTAAGGCACGTCAGCGTAAATGACGGTTCCGTATAGGATGCAGGTTCGAATCCAGTCAAAGAACGAATATTTTCTATGAAAATTTCTCGGACATTCAGGCCGGTAAATGTTATTTAATACTGTTTATCATAAACAGAGCATTTGCTTAAATACTTGTATCTATAAATAACAACGTTAAACATAAAAATGTATATATAAATATATATATATATATATATATATATATATATATACACATACAGAGAGAGAGATAGAGAGTCAGCCCCAAAATGTATACAAACTCCAGGAAAGGAAAACGTGTATAGATATTGTAATACTAAATTTATTCAGACGTTACGAGATTAATGGAAGTTACCTTTGGAATCTATAATGATAATAGTTCATCAAAATGGTGGCCATTAGTTTGCAGATATTTATTCGTAGAGCGAACGACTGCTTGGGCAAAGTTGGCCAAAGTGTCCAGTGAGATTGCAGCACATGCCTTTTCAATTTCTTGTCTAACGGCCGAAAATGGAGTCGGTTTTCTTTGATACGCAACATCCTTTAGTGTCCCCCATCATAAACAGTGTTATCACAATTTGATAAAACTGCGAAAGACATTTTTTCCATTCCTGAAATGTATATACATTTTTGTCAGATTATTTATATATATATATATATATATATATATATATATATATATATATATATATATACAAAGAATAATCACACATAGAATTAATCAAGTATCAATGCAATTATTGGCGACATCCATCGATAGAAAACATAATATATGCATTAAAATCCTGTTCAACCATAGTGCGAGTTTTGATCCTTGAAGAAAAACTTGTTGTCTGTAGTTTTTCAGTTTATTTGATGTTAAAATGCTAGTACTTACGGACAGTCTTCCATCCATCATCAGGCATGTGTTTTTTTTCCTTATAAAATCAAAAACTTGAGACGATATACCTGTATGTCGACCGAAAGATGTTTTTTGAATATCTGCTATTATTGACGGTTGTAAGATATCGGAACGTGCAAAGACGCAACGCTAAGTTTTTCAAAATTTTCATAAGTGAGAATTTTATTCTTTGTATGTAAATCATATGCTGCCTAATGTTTTTATATATATATATATATATATATATATATATATATATTATTATTATTATTATTGTTATTATTGTTATTATTATTTTATATGCGCAGTACTTATTGGAAAGTGTTTAATATCAGCGATAGAGCTAATATATAGATTCTTTATATGGGTGTGAACTAAATTGCGTACACCTCTATGTATGCATGTATGTGCGTATGAGAGTGTCATCGTAACCGAACACAGAGGAGAATTCCCCCCTCCCACCACCAAACATAATCACATACAAACAAGTATAAATAGGTTCAATTTTAAAAAATAAACCATTTTGTCTGATGATCGCAAAAGCGTGAAACACAGGATCACAAACTTATATCCATATAACTGAATATATATATATATATATATATATATATATATATATATATATATATATATATAGTAAACCTTCCTTCCAGCTCTTCAGGTTTCGGGTGTTAAAATCAATAATTATTGATCCTAGCCCTCGAAGCCTGAAGACTCGGATGACGAAGGTTTCCTTATCAGAAAGTACTTTTTATTTACACTATTTACATTGTTCGGACTATTGCCCTCCTCTTTATTGTCATATTCACGACGTTTCGGCCCTTGTACACTCCGGCCTTCTTCAGATGATATACGTTGGAATTTCGAACAGAACTCTTTATTTCACCCACTGGGGTAAATTGTTCTAGTTCCACGTGCCATGCCTGTTCTGGCTATTTCCGTTTCAGTCATTTCCCTTTAGTAACTCGACTCTCCAAGTTTTATTCACCTCTGCTGTAGCCAGTTATTGAATTCACAACTCTTTGGGTCAATCCCTAGATTGCTTTAACCAACGCTTTTATCCACTGGGCCATGTGTCTGACTAAATAAAGGTTTTCAACTGACTTCTTGCCCCTTATCAGGCAGCTCTTCGTTTCTGTTTTTAGTAAAAAAATTCCTCAGGTTTCGATGAACTCTTGAATCTGGTTTTCCTTAGAAAAAGTGTTCCTCAACTAAGCGTCTTGGAGCGATCGCAAAATGGTAATAATCGGTCGGTACTGGTTCAGGTGAATAGGGAAGGTTAGGTTAGAACAGATCAAAACCAGGTTCCAAGAGTTTTTCTCTTGTGTATGCTGTATACAACCCTTGCATTGTCGTGGAGTATAACAACATTTTCTGTAAAAAGACAAAAGGAAAATACATATATATATATATATATATATATATATATATTTATACTTATATACACACGTTTCACACACACACACACACACACACACACACACACACACACACATATATATATATATATATATATATATATATATATATATATATATATATATATATATATATATATATATATGAAAGCAGAGACTTTAGAAACCCATAGTAATATTTTTATATCGCAAAACCGATACTTCGGTTTCGTCTCATCAAACCAAAATCAGTTTCAACATTAAATGGATTTAAAATTATCATTTTCCCTGTTCTTACATTGATCTCTCTCTCTCGCTCTCTCTCTCTCTCTCTCTCTCTTTCTCTCTCTCTCTCTGGATCTATATCCACTTTGGAATTATCCATACGGATTACCAAATAATATTATGATCTACATTTTGTTATGTATACTATATATATAATATATTGTTACGAACTTGTAGCATATAGATGAACCACGGGTTTTTAAAAAAAAAGGGAAAACGTGGGATCCTTTCTCGGTCTTCACTCAGAAATGGAAGCGGCACAAGGGAATCAACGAAGAACAGACACAAGACGATGGATTTCAAAATAAAACATTTATTTATAAATATATATATAGCGAAACAAAGAAAGAAAAAAAAGAACATTCATTTAACAAAGGGGGAGGACATCATTAAAGAATAGAAGGCACGAGCGAATACATACATATATGAAAACAGATCAAGCCAAGAGAATCAACTTACCTTGCAGTCGGGTTGATCTCTTCACATAAAGTTTTGATTCGCCGAAGCGAGAGTTCTGATGATAAAACAATATCTTGGCCGGCCGACAATTTTCCTGGTTTCTTTTTCTTTTCACAAGTGTTCGAGGGTCCACAGCATTTCATACAGGCGTTTGGTTGGGTCGGTCAGTTCCGTAGCAGTCCTTTCACCACTAGTCGACAGACTTTGCTGTCTTCTTCACCTCGGTGGGCGGACTGACGATTTTTGCCCAGCGACGTTCAACTGCCGCTGGTCAGAGGGAAACTGAAAAATCCTTTTTTCGGTTTTCGCTGTCCCCAAAGACAGTCACGTGGGTTCCCTTCGTCCTTGACCGGGTACGCAGGAGAATAGGGCGCAAATCACGCAGTGCTTGTGTGATGGCCAAAAGTTCAACACATGCTCAGTACGTTCCGATCACGTGAATCGCAGCAGGAGGCCCTGATGGTGCCTGGAATTCACTTATGGTCAGCCGCCTGGTAGCGCCGGGTCACTTCGAAGTTCACGGGCCCTTGGCTTGTGGGTGGAAGAGTAGGTAAGGAGAGAAAGAATTTGTGGAGACAAAAGGAGGTGTATGGCTGATCATAGGATATATTCGCTCGCAAGTCGAAAACATTTTTATTTATTAATTTATTTATTTATTTTTCTTTTATATCTAACTAATTTTCTCTTTATTTAAGATTTTACTTGAGCCTAACGCCTATATGGTTAATGAAATCGTGGCTACGTGACAATATATATATATATGGTTTTGAAGATGAAATAGAGCTGTTTTTTTAGCTTTTATTTTTGAAACATGTGAACTCTTATGTAGCGATGGCATCATATTATTTAAAAAAATTATAATTTGGGATCTACTTATGTATTGAGCACTGTTTTTTTTTTAAATAAAAACAAAAATACTAAAGAACTTTGCATTATTAAACAAACGGTTCTTTCCTATTTTCTATATATTTGCACAAACACAGACACACACACACACACACATATATATATATGTGTGTGTGTGTGTGTGTGTCTGTGTGTTTTATAACCAAAGGAGAGAGAGAATAGATGAAGTAAAAATCCACTGTTCGTAGCATTTAGTTTTTAAAAAGTGCTCAGTACAAAGTAGTGCAATATATCTTATTACTAAATAAAACTCTGTGAACTATATTTTATGTTATTGTATTGAATCCCAACATTCCAAATTTTGACATTCTAAGGGCTTATTGTTCAACTTTCTTAAAACAGACATTTTTTTTTTTTAATATTGAAAGCAACTTCAATAACTGCAAATAAATGTACTTTAAAAATATCTCTTCATGAAATTAAATGTAAACAGTAAACACAAATTGGACCCAACGGGTCACAGGTGCTTTAGTTATTATTATTTTTTTATTATAAAACATTATAATAAAAACTTTTCAAAATGTTTTCATTATAATCTGTTATAATAAAACTATAATAATATTTGTTTTATATATATATATATATAAATATATATTTATATATATATTAGTAACATATATATATATATATTTTTTAATATAATCTAAGCTTTCGGCTTACATAAGCCATTATCAAAGATGTCAATTACAACATACTAAGCAATATACGGACAAGACAGTGATGATAGTCTGTCATTGTTTACATAGATGATTTCTAAGCAACGATAAACACGCGCATATAAGACGCTAGAAGCGAAAATCGCACCGCATCTCATGAAGTCACACATGACCACACGAGAGTGAATTGGAGAAGTATGAAATATGGAAAGCCGTTGGTATAAATCAATGGCTTCTGTTACCAATTATAGACACCTTATAAAGCTTAGATTGTATTAAAAAAAATATGGATCAATATTGTGAATTTCTTTCTTCGTTCAACGATAATGTTATTAAACTTATTAGATGTTACGAAAAAATTTACATAAAATAAATAAACAACACTTGTCAATATTATTTAATGAAACGTGTATGAATGAAAAGATGCTGCCTAAATACACACAATATATATAATATATATATATATATATATATATATATATATATATATATATATATATATATCAAATATGTGGTGTAGTCTAATTTATATTACAATGAATCATTCATACAAAAAGTAAATAAAGTTAATGATATAAAATGGCGAAATGCCTTCGCTAACTAAATTTTCAAGATGCAACTGAGACATTACTTATTGAACAATTTAGTTCATGCTTCGTTGACTGATGCGACTGCACACTTCACAAGTTTGTATCTGTTATTAATAACACACTTAAAGAAAAAAACATATTTCGATTTGCATTATATTTTTTGTCTCCCAGGCTACCTGAATTTTACCAAAAACAAAATAGTTTCCATGCCTGATGATGACCGGAAGACCCGCCAAAAGTACTTGCATATTTAAGGAAGACCTAATACAGTTATAATTTTTTAAAAAAATATCATAACATTCATTGACTGATTGATAGGTTACTGCATCTTTAAAATTTAGTAGGCGAAGTGAATTCGCCATTTTATATCATTAACTTTACTAATTTTTTTTTTTGTGTGAATGATTCATTGTAATATAAATCATATATATATATATATATATATATATATATATATATATATATATATATATATATATTAAGAAATGGACAAAGTCCGACAATTTATTAAAAAGACGTTTTTATGTTTAACATTCTTTTTATAGATACAAGTATTTTAGTAAATGCTCTGTTTATAATAAACAGTATTAAATAACATTTACCGGCCTGAATGTCCGAGAAATTTTCATAGAAAATATTCGTCCTTTGACAGGATTCGAACCTGTATCCTATACGGAACCGTCAAATATATATATATATATATATATATATATATATATATATATATATATATATATATATATATATATATATATATATATATATATATATGCTTGAAAGAGTATTTCCTGTGTTGATCAAATTGTGTTTCCCGCCAGATAATGAATGAATGTACGTATGAAGCTGAACATCAAACATGGCGCCATACTGCGAAGATAAAACGAGACTCGTTTTTTCCAGATGTTACCATAATTTCGTCATCTCTTCAACGCTTCAGGAATGTTCTGTTTTTTTTTTAAAGAAAACAAAAAAACAAATGTCGACAATTCTGAATGCTGAACTACGATGTAATATCAGAAAGTGGATATTACATCGTAAACATTGAATGCAAGGCAATTTCCTCACAGATTAAGAAGAGTATTGAGGCAAAAAAATGTAGTTTTTCAGACTGATTTCATTTTTACGGATTATCAACCGTTTTATGTAAAGCCGAAACTTATTTGGGATTGTAAAAAAAATTCTTTTTTAGCGGATGAATATTGCATTTACAATTTTGAGATAACAATGATTTTTACAGATGCAATTCTATTTAACCCATACCGGGGAAAAGAGCCGATGGCTTCACCCCTTCACCAAACCGACAGGAGAGTCCATTATATATATATATATATATATATATATATATATATATATATATATATATTCAGTTGTTTGGATATGTGTTTGTGACCCTGTGTTTCTCGCTTTTGCGCTCATCAGACAAACTGGTATACTTTTTAAAAATTGGATCTATTTATGCTTGTTTGTGTCTGATTATGTTTGGTGGCGGAAGGGAAAATTCTCCTCTGTGTTCGTTTGCCCCCCCACTACCAAATATAATCAAACATATAGAATATATATATATATATATATATATATATATATATATATATATATATATATATATAATAATAAAACGGTATTTATTTCTTACTACAGTTTTTTTTTCTTACTACAGTTTTTATTGATCTGTTGCCTATACAATATATATATATATATATATATATATATATATATATATATATATATATATATATATATATGTATAGGCAACAGATTATTATTTAAACATATATTTTGTAAAATATACCAAACAATGAATGTTTATTATGTTCTAAAATCAGAATATTTGCTTTAATTTCGGGTGAAAATAAACACAAAGATTGTCCAACATAATGATATTTTTTATTAATAATCTGTTCCTTGAACTAAGCTTTCGGTTCACAGGAGCCATCTTCAGCGTAGTTATACGGAAATTTCAACAAAGATATTCACCATCAAAGATGATATCCTGTTATGTTGACATAGAAGATTGCTATGCGACGATAACGGTCGCTGAATAGCAGACGCAAGTCGTAAATTTATGATGCGGTTCTATGACGTCATACCTCATGAGAGCCCGAAATATTAACAACAGAATCATATGTCTAGATGCAATGTAATATGTTGTGACTAGTTTGAGATATAATTTTGTTGAGTGTGGGTTGCTTTGTCAACTAATATCTGTCTAATATTATGTACATGGCTATGTTTTTCTAAGAACTTAATAGAACTAAGATCAGAAAGGTGACAGGTAAGTCTACGGGATAGTGTGGTTGTAGTAAAATCAATATATGTAGTGGGTTTATTATTAATAAAAAAAGATTTTTTTCAAAAATGTTGAAACTACCCGTGTCTCTCGCTTCGTGCGCATGTGTAGACGTGACAACGTCATCCATCAAAGCCCAGTTCGATGAAATCCTAACAGACGAAAAGCATCACAAAAAACCTTTCCAGGTTGTCATATTTTTCTAAATACAAAATTATAGATCGTTATATCCTATATATATATATATATATATATATATATATATAGTTATAAAATGTTACATTTAATTTCTACTTTTTTAAGACTCTAAATTTATATTTGTTTTAAATTTTACAGACTGTTATTCAAGCAAAACCCGCTTCAAGTAAGTATTCATACATTTCTTCTACTTGCTTGCATTTACCATTGTTACAATTTTCTACCTAAGATCAGAGTGTAGTATCTGCATAATCCCTGCCTATTTGAGCTGGAATTTAGTTACGTTTCCTGATCAAGAACCTATACTATTTATCTACTTGTTTGTATGTAACACCGTTGGGATTTTTTCTACCTAAGATCAAAGTGCACAGCCTGTCTGAAGTTTTTATTCCAATTAAATAAACCTCTGTAACTCAGAAAGTTCTGAACCAATATTTGTCAAATTTAAACTCGTCCATTCTCACTCTTAATAAAATATCTAAATAAATTTTCTGACATTTTTAATGGTTAATTTTTTATATATTTGGAATTTACGAAAATGGAGTGGCTGAAGTTATTATGCAGAATAAACTAATATTAGCTTAAGACCCCTGAAACCTAATAAAAACTATTTTTTCTTTTTGTTCATATTATATATCGAAACATGGGTAAAGGAAAGGATTTAACAAATACTGAAAAAAGGAAAATAAACTTATTGTGTGAAGGAATGTCCGCATTGGAGATATCAAAGGAGCTTTGCAGAGATCATCCAACGATAAAGAAGGCTGTTGAAAATATAACTTAGTTGAGAACTCGAAGCAAAGTAAAAAGCTTTAAACTTACTTCCTCAAGATGAACGTAAACTCGAGCGAGTTAGGGCGAAACAAAATTTGATCAGCGCTCAAATCTTTGAAAAGGCTGGAATTGAGGGAGTCAAGAAGGGCGAAAGGTGTAGAATACTTTGTGAATTTGGATCTATAAAAAAAACTATATCTATAAAAAAAACCTCCTCGGCAGCCTCCACTCGCTAAAGCAAATATTTTAAAATGTCAAGAAATAAAGGAAAATTGACTCTTCTATAGTAATTTTCACGGACGAATCTCGAATGACATTTTACGGACCTGATGGATGAGCCAAAGGATGGATTTTATCCAATTCATACATGCCCATGGCTAAAAGAATGTAACAAGGAGATGGTAGTGTTATATGGGCTGGAATTGTTGACCAAACCATTATTGGACCATTCAAAGTCAATGAAGGAGTTAAACTGAACAGTGCTAATTATTATGATTTTATGAATAAGACTTTGCATGGTACAGTCTAATAGTTTCAAAGTGCAGTGTGTATTTATGCATGACAATGCTCCTTCCCATGTATCTAAGCTTACCCATGAGTTCTTTGAGCATAAAGGATTTACAGGAGAGAAGATAATGGAATGACCACGATCAAGTCCTGATCTGAATCCAATCGAAAATCTATGGCCAACTGTGAGGATGAAATTATATGAAGGTAGCAAAAAATATGACAACAAAGCAGGTCCATTAGAAACAATTAAAACTACCATATCGGAAACTGAACCACAGCTGAAGTAATAAAAAAAACAACCAATGGCTAATAGATTACTGGCTGTTATCGAAAAGAAGGGTCACTATATTAAAATGTAAAGGATTCCAAGACTTATCATATGTGTTTGTTATTTGTTTTATTATAGGTGTTGAACAATTTTTGATGGTTTTATTATCTTTTTATTGAAGTAAAATGTGATTATTTGGTTTTGCCTAATAACTTCAGACGACAGTTTTTAAAATACAATCTAAACCCCATAGCGAAAAGTTCATCCGAACAGTTGACACTATAGTATTCATAGAAAAGGCACAGGGAAGCAACCTTACGGTAGTGAGAAAATGACTGGAGTTGAGGTGACATATCAGGACCAATAATATTGCAGATTCTTCTTTAGATTTTATCGAGCTCTAGATATACGGTGAGGCAGAGAAGACAGACGTTTTTGAAAATAATAAGTGTTTCAAAAATGTTCGTCCTCTCTGTCTCACCCTATGGGAAACGGGACCCCACCCTGTAAATAGCAGGACATCGGACCATATTGGGAAACGGGGCCCGGAAGGGAGTTGCACAAGTGCGAGAAAATAACTGTTAGCATAGAATTTACGGCTTTATCTAGCCAGCTCAACTGTTCTCTCTATCTCACCTTATGGGAAACGGGACCCCAGCCTGTAAATAGTGGGACACCGGACAATACGTGGCAGCAATATTCTAAACATGGACGAATGGTAGACTTATATGTAAGATAGATTCCAGAAAGAAAAATTGTCTCGCACGATTCAGTGAAAAAAATTTGGTTACGTCAAACGTCGTTTTTTAATCGCTATCAGCTTTTTTTAATCGCTATCACCCCACATGCAAGATAGTAAAGCCATCAAGACGCAGGGGGGGGGGTTACAGGTTGTGGAAGAATTAGGAACAGAAACATTAGTAATGAATAGAAAGAGAAAAGAGCAATAAGGGCAGTAGATAGTGATTGACATTGCATTTAAATCTCCGCAGGTTAAAGTTGGATGGAAAGCATGGAAGGGAGTTGCCCATTGTAGTGAACCACCCTCATTCCCTTTGTATTCCATTGGTGAGAAGTAAGTTCCAATCGAACAGCTTCTTCCTGCAAACCTCTGCTCTGTGGAACCGATTCCCAAGAAGGTATTTTCTCGGTCACTACAATCTTAACCTTTTTAAAACTACCGTTAACCGTTATTTTCCCCACATATCCGCATAAACTGTGCGTATTACTCCGTAACACTCTAACTCGAGTGGCTCGCGGGCCTTGTACATGATGAACCTCAGTGTAAAATAATTAAAGATGTTGAAAGATTTATGTTGGAGAAGCGAAGAGTTCCTTCTTGGTTTGGTAGAGTGATAATCCTTAGAGTATTTATAAACTGTGTTATGTACAATGCGACAAGTGATAAGCAGGGGATTAAAAAGTTATCCCAAACGGAAACGAGACACGTCTTGTCTGTACGGCATCCTGTAAGTAATAATAATCATAATAATACATCCATGCAGTCGTACCACAGTCGATATTATAGAGTTTTTTGAACAACATTATTTTGTCGATAGCTACGGTTTTTCTCCTAGACTGGTTGCCAATCATAGCTAGTGAACCCATACAGAGTTATTCATCCTATAGAAGATATTTGGCAGTAGTGAATGTAAAGGACTAAGCTGGAGTTCGAACTCGACTCGCTGTTTTCTCGTTTTTAGCCGTTCTTACACCACCTGCGTATCCGTCGACCTGTAGGTAAAGAGAAAAAAAAAAAACAAAGAGAAAAAGTGAGTTTTCTCCCTTTTATTTCATACTGCTTTCGACAACGCCATCTAGCGGTCGTTGGCAGAAGTTCCTTCGAAGACAAGTGGGGTAATCCTGTAATGTATTTACATTTACTTTTTTCTTTTCTTTTTTTATCTAGCTTGTCTCAAGAAAGCAACCGACATAATATTTGTTTTGGACTCTTCAAGCAGCATCTGGGTTGAGGATTATAAAAAACAACTCCAATTCGTCGCTGACCTTGTTGACAGCTTCAAAGTCGAAAATGGAATATCTCAAGTCCGTGTAGGCGCCATAACATTCAGTGACCAGGCCTACCTTGAATTCCCTTTGGGTCATTATTCGAAACCTGCTCAGATGAAAGAGGCAATTTCTAAATTTATTCATCGAACCGGTGGTACAAATACAGCAAAAGCCTTGCAACTCGTTCGATCTCAACTCCATATCCAGACAGAAAATCGAAAAGGTCCAGTTGCTGTTATTGTAGTGACTGACGGTAAATCCAGCGACCGTGAGGCCACCAAGGCAGAAGCTAAAAAACTTCATCAACTTGATATCAACGTCTATGCCATTGGTGTGGGCGATCAGAGCAAATATGACATCAATGAACTTAAGGCCATTGCAAGCAATCCGATCCGCGGTGTTTATACGGTGGCTAGCTATTCAGCCTTAAAGGAGATTGCACAAACATTTTACGCTCAGCCATGTAAGGGTAAGTAGCCTGTTCTGATCCTTATAACTCCCAAATATATTTAAATAATTATGTACTTTATTTTGCGTTTATTTTCTCTCACTAACAAAATTTTAAAATGGTTTGAGACTTTTTATCAATCTTATATATAAAGCTCAAAGTGTGTGTGTGTGTGTGTGTGTGTGTGTGTGTGTGTGTGTGTGTGTGTGTGTGTGTGTGTGTGTGTGTGTGCTGAAAACCCTGGATATTCCCGCGCTCCACTCGAACGAACGAGACACAAAGCCGAGTTAATATGTATAAAGTGAGTAGCCATATTCAGATGCAAAATAAATAACAGAACTGTCAAACAAAACAGAACTGATAAAGTTTGCAACAAGTAATGACAAGAAAAGAAAAGGAAAAGGCCAAAGATAATATTAAGCAAACAAACAATATATGCAAGGCAAATTAAAAATAATAAAGCTAAGAAACATTCCTCTTTTAATTTTAAATTGATATTTCATTCTTAATATATCCCCGAAATTAAGGTCATAAGGTTACTATTCGGGTTTAATTTTATAAAACCTCTTCCCCTTTAAGACAAATACCTTCCACCTTCCTCTGACCCCTGTCTCATGCCTTTCGTCTGACTGAAACTTTTGGCTTTCACAGTTAAATTCTATTTCTCGTCCCCACCCCAACTCTATAGACACGAAAGCCCACACTGGGGTTTATAAGACAGACGACCGATATCTTCGTCTGCCGAAATAGGATATTCTCCACGTGAGGTACTTTTCGATTTTATTGTTTATTACACACACACACATATATATATATATATATGTGTGTGTGTGTGTGTGTGTGTGTGTGTGTGTGTGTGTGTGTGTGTGATGCAAAGCTCTTCAGTAAAATGAATTGGAGCACTATGACTGACTGGCGTTTATTTATATTCGTAAAAACAATATGCTAGAATTAGCTGTTTCTCTCTGCCGAGTGATGATAACTTAGAGGTGGAAACTCCGACTGAAATCAAACTAGTCGGGTTTCGGTCCCGGCTTGAGGCATTCGGATGTCAAGTCGCGCTGAGGAAACAGCGAAACAGTACTGTCTACGAATGACATAATATATAGAGAGATTTTTTTTTTATTTTAAAATATATATTATACTCTATTTTCTATAATTCTGCTTCACGTGTTTCTGGTTTTGCGTCCTTCTTCAAGGAAAAGAGTAGATATTTCCACATATTATAAAAATGAATTTTTTGCGTGGTAGTGATACATTTTTATATGTGGAAATATCTATTTTTTGCTTGAAAAACCAGAAATACGTGTAGTAGAATTATGGAAAATAGAGTATAATATATATTTTAAAATAAAAACATGCTGATTTCAACCAAAAACATTTGCGGTTTATCTTCTTTTTAAAATATACACTTCTCTCTCGTCGGAACATCTATAACATCTTACACATACATATATATATATATATATATATATATATAAGAATGGACAACACTAACTGGCGACACTCATTTTCATGCCTGAACGCAATATTCAGGCTATCTATTATACTATTGCCTAAATTTTCCTTTTAAGCATGAAACAGACTGTCGCCACTCGGTGTTGACATCTATCGACTTCAAAGTTTTGTTGAAGACCGCTTATCAGATTTCGCGCTTATCTCCAATTTTACAAAATTATATTTTATAACGGTGAATATTTTAACATTGTAAATGTTGTTCCGTTCCTATTACACTCTGGCCTACGATGCATTTCAAAATTGAAATTTGGCGGGAACTCTAAACGTGATGAACGGTGTCCTGCAAACCTTTCAAGTCGGTCGAGAGATAAGCCGATTGCACTTTCATTAATTTATTGACTAATATTATTAACCAAAATATATTTATTGTAATTTTTCAGATGAAGATATTAGTCCAGAACACACGACAGCATCGAAAACAGTATTGTCCACTACTCTACCGAGTACAAGTCAACCTTCAGAGACAACACCGAAAAACAACCTGAAACCAATTGAAAAACCCAGTGAGTATGTTTTTTTTTTTTAGCTGTTATCATACGTCAGTGTTAATCCTTGATACCTCGACCGCATGAATATACTACTGTATTGGCAATTAGGTCCCATCGTTTTACTGTTGACATATCTAGATGCAACCGTAAGTTCTATTCCAATATTTTCTTTTCCGGCATTTTTAGCTTGTAGAACTTTCTTCCGGTTTATTACTTCCGGTTTATTACTTCCGGTTTATTACTTTCCTGCCACCCACTGTCTTCAAAAATTTATTTTATTTTATTTATAATTTTCTTTATTATCATTATTATTGTTGTTGTTGTTAATATTTATTATTGGGTTGGTGCATAATTATCAGGCGTTACTGCAGGCGACTTAATTGTTAATAAAAATTGTTGTTTTGTTTACTTTTTTAATAAAAATATTATTTTATTTTCAGGTTACAAAAATGCGTGTCGATAATCATACTCATTTAAAATGTTACTGTTAAATTCTTGTGTTTCTTTTTCATAATAAATATATTTTAAAACGCCTGATAATTATGCACCACCCCAATATTTTATTTTTATTTATTTATTTATAATAATAATAATAATAATAATAATAATATCCCCACAATAGTAAACATACGCTGCATGGTCTGGTGCCCCCTCTGTTCATCTCGAGGGTCTCAACAAAATCCGAAAACGGATATGCCATGTGATAGGTCCAGACCTGGCATCTCGACTCCAGCCACTTCTCACAGACGTGATGTGTCTTCTCTCTGTCTTTTCGAAAAAAATTTCATGGCAACTGAGTTGACGGGCTACTTTCACTGGTACCCCAACTGCATAAATTTAAGCGTGCTACTAGGTTGGCATATCGGTCCCACCCTTTCACTGTCGAAACAATTAAATGTAACCACCTCTTCTACCCCAACAGCTTCTTCTCTCACACTTCCCGCCAGTGGAACTCCCTTCCTCCGACTTACTTCCCTGATGGCTATAATATTCAAATGTAATGTCAAACGACATCTTCTGAGGCCTTGTTCCTGATCTCCGTCTTTCTCTATATCCTCTCATCACACCCCCCCCTCTTTACTTTTCGTCTCATTCTCTATAACCCCTTGCGTGCTAGTGGTACTCCTACATTGCTTAGAGTGAAATGCTGAAAAAAATTATCTCCACTCAGAATGTACCGTAAATATTTTGAAATTTAAAACTTAAGAGTCCTATTCATTTCTCTGAAAGCTTCGTGCATACTCATGTCACTTAAATTTCTTATAAGCTGTTGTGTATAGCTTAAAATCATTGGCTTAAATTTATGGTTAAATTATTAAATTATATTATGGTAAAGACAGATCTTTTGGAGACCAAATTTTATTTTTTCAAAAATGCTTTTTCAATAATCCCTACCCGTTTAATTTTAATTTTCTTTATGGGCTTCAAATTATTCCTACATTTTTAATTTCCAAATTAATGGTCTGTAATAATGTCAGCCGTAAACTGCATGACCTAAATTTTGTAAACAAACACATGGCCGCATATAAGTTTACGAGAATCACGCGTTTTACGAGATTGTAAGAGATTTGCACGTTGGCCATTGAAAATTAAGAATAGATTATTTTGAAATAGTGTACAGAAGAAAGTTGTTTAAAATAGCATAAACAAGACTTAAACAGTAAGAAGCCATAAACGAAATTTATGTTTTTTTTCCTTTCAGTAAACACGGAACGCGAACGCCCACAGAGAGACAAAGAGAGTAAGTTAAGGTTTTGATTATAAATTTTCACAAGATTTTTTTTCTTTTCTTTTCTTTCTCATTCAGCCATGACTATCTAAATAGGAATATCTAAATCGGAGGCAAACACTATGGGCTTTGTCCAGTATATCCACACACAGATACACACACACACACACACACACAAAACACACACTTACACACACACATGTATATATATATATATATAGACACACACACACACACACACACCAGTCGTATAAAAGAGGGATTGCTGTTCAAATACACAATTATTCAATTACATATCCCGGCAGCCAACAAGGAAAGTTGCCGCAGTACTTTATCAGTCGTTTTTAATTAGACTTGTATAAAAGAGGGATTGCTGCCCAAATACACAATTATGTATGTGTATATACATTGTCATCCACAGACAGTCTGTCTCGCAGCTCATCAATGTGGGTAGACATCCGTTTGCCTTAAGCCGGGATCGAAACCCGACTGATCTGGTATCAATCAGAGATTCTACCCCTAAGCAATGGGCGCACACTCAGGGATGAAGGTGAATTTAGACGTATTTATTTTTAGATAAACACGCCAGTGACTGGAGAACTCGACTCGTCTTAACGAAGAGACTTGCATCAACAGCAGTAATAATCACTGTTTACAAATTCCCTTTTCTCCCGAGAGCTCAACCGAAATAATTTTTTTTCGGGAGTATAATGTATATTTAGGCAGAAACATGTTTTGAATATGACAGACAAGGAAAAATTGATGAATTTTCTATTGAGTTTTTCTAGTATTCTTATTTTTTTTCTGTTGGGTGGAGTTAAAGGAGAATTTTTTCAAAATTTACCTCGCCAGTTTTCTCTTTCAAAAATTATGATCCTCTGATAATCCAAGAACTCATAGAATTTCTGTAAACATTCACAGGAGATCAGTAAAAGGTTTATAGAAAGGATACACTCGAAGCAAGGATTATAAAACGTGTCAGTAAAATTAATAGCAATCCTCTAGAAAAAGGAAGAGATGAATTTAAGCTCAGCCCCCACACTTACAGAAGCTCTCATGGTAGCACGCACACATTAGTGAAGTCTCTTGGCTACACCAATGTCCGGGCTTCCAGGAATGCTTAGAAACATCTTGAAGGATCAGGTTGTGGTTGCTGGACAAGATTTTCGAGTGGTGTACAACAGGAATAATAATCAGATAAGACAATTGATAATGATTGACAATGCTTCATGTAAGTAATTTAGTCAACTTAAGGCTATCACTAAACGTAAAATCAGATGAAATAAGATAAAAGTATTAAAATTAAAAAGATTAAAAATAAATAATAATTGACTATCTAAGAAATTCAGACTATTACTAGTTGGTGGAAAAGCAAGAGAAATAAGATGAAAGAAATACTATTGAAAAATGAATAATAATTGCCAAGGCTTCATCTAAGAAATTCAGACAACTTAAGACTATTACTACTTGGTGGAAAAGCAAGAGAAATAAGATGAAAGAAATACTAGTAAAAAATGAATAATAATTGCCAAGACTCCATCTAAGAAATTCTGACAACTTAAGACTATTACTAATTGGTGGAAAAGCAAGAGAAATAAGATGAAAGAAATACTAGTCAAAATGAATAATAAATGTCCGATGTATTTTTAATCTTTTCAATGCCATTGATAAATAAATTTAAAATCGGAATTATTTATTTTATTTTTTCATTTTTTTTTTACAGGCATCGTTATCTTTGGCTACGATCTCATAACGATGGGTTCCCTTCGAGTGAGAATGATTTCCCAGTTCATCAACTTACTTCTTCCTTACACAGTCTACGAATATTTTAGCGTGATCTCTTATGCGTACTGCCCAGAATATGTGAACATTCCCGTTATTTCTTTGAAAAACAAGACTTTTAACGAACTCCAAAACAGCGTTACAGTTAATGCAAACATTCCCGGTCTGGCCGAAGTCGTCCGACAGATGAGGAGTGAGATGTACAGACGCACGCTCCAATACGTCCAGTCTGGTCACGTGTTAAATCGAGTTGCAGTTTTATTCGTCGATCCATCTGTCACCGTGATCACTAAAGAACTCATAGAAGAAACAGGAAGGCTCAAACAACAAGGCGTTAAATTATTTATAATTAATGTGGGGCAGGCCGTCTGGCCTCACCCTCAATATCTGCATTTTATTAGCAGTCAGCCTCACGTAAATTTCATTTACAGTTACCCAACTTACAAACAGCTGTTGTATACTGCTAGATATCATCCTGTCCAATTCCGAGCAATGTGCAACCCGTATAAGCCAAATATTAACATTGGTTAATTGCATCGTCTCTAATTTGTTTTAGAGTCAATATATTTGCATACATTCCCTGATATTATTTAAAAAACTATTAATAATTACTCAGGAGTTTATATATATATATATATATATATATATATATATATTGGAGTCCAATATTTACTTGAAGATGAAATGGAACTTATGTTTTTTATTTAATTACAAAATTAAATTTGAAGTTTTACCTTCCATTTTTAAAACATGGTTTTTACTGTGTAGCGAAAAAAAACATATTTTAAACCAGTTAATTTATATATATATATATATATATATATATATATATATATATATATATATATATACTAATCAATTAGACCTAGCAAAACATGTTACAATTACTAGAATTTAAAGTATTTCAAGACCAGCAGAATTTTTTCCTCGAGGAAGTGCTCAATAGTTATCCGAAGAAACAATAGTCCAAAATCATCAAACAACTTATCCCTTGACCAACTCCAGAGTTTCGCTTAATATCGCTCACCGGGACAATACGATGGGCTGTGGAATTTCTGGATAAAAATTAAATTCGTTTGTTTTATATGCTGACTTGCATATACTTTCCTTGTGATATTTTTAATTGATTTTTATCGAAACCTTTTGCTCATGCCGTCTACCTACAGCAAGGAATAGACGGTCTATGGTCGAAAATGAAGGCTGAAACTTTTTTGCCTCAGAAAAGCCTGTTTCAATCCACCTGTCACTTTCAATGCAATTCTACGTCATCTTGAGAGTTTGGCAAGAGAGCAAATCTAAATTATAAACCCATCACTTCATTCCAAGCACATTATTTGTTTTTTTGTTTTTTTTATATTTTATACTATTCATAATTATAGCAGAAATATATTCGTTTTAATAACAAAAGGTCTTTATATTTTATCAAATAAAACATTGTTATTCCATAATTATTAAGTTTTCACCAGTGTTTTTTTTTTTTTTTTTTTTCATCTTTACTTTTATGAGATGAAGAATTGTCAAATCATTATTATTATTTGCGTGGTATTAATTGGTACTGATCTAATATAGCATAAATATGAAAGTAAATACTAGTTAAAAATTAATAATAATGACTGACAATGCTTCATCTAATAAAGCATGAAGATGAAAATAAATACTAGTCAAAAATTAATAATGGCTGACAATGCTTCATTTAATAAAAAATGAAGATGAAAGGAAATACTAGTCAATAATTAATAATAATGGCTGACAATGCTTTATCTAATAAAAAATGAAGATGAAAGTAAATACTAGTCAATAATTAATAATAATGGCTGACAATGCTTTATCTAATAAAAAATGAAGATGAAAGTAAATACTAGTCAATAATTAATAATAATGGCTGACAATGCTTTATCTAATAAAAAATGAAGATGAAAGTAAATACTAGTCAATAATTAATAATAATGGCTGACAATGCTTTATCTAATAAAAAATGAAGATGAAAGTAAATACTAGTCAATAATTAATAATAATGGCTGACAACGCTTCATTTAATAAAAAATAAAGATCAAAGTAAATACTAGCTATAAATTAATAATAATGGCTGACAATAATGTGATCTTCCCAATAGATTGACTTATAAATTATAATTAATCTGGTGAAAAATTGTAAGTAAAATCACTACTTTAAAATTGTTTGTAAATCCTCAAATACATGTTAAATATTTCGTTTTATTTTTTTATAATTCTTTCGTTAGAAATTAATTAATAATTGCGGGTGATATTATTAATGAAAATGAACAACTTACACAAAATAGTGTGTCGGTCATAAATCTTCTGTTTATTTGTAATAAAAAAAATCATATTCAATTTTTCGTTTTGTTTCTTTTTGTCTCTTCACAACATGGGGGGCGATTATCGTGATTTCTCGCGAGAAATTTCGTTATCTTTGCTCTTCTTACACATGTAGTGTGTTACATAATGAATTTTTGTATAGAAAGGTTTTGCTGGAAGAAGCAATCTTATCGTCATGGATTTTCATCAGTTGGAAGCCAAAATTATGACTGATAGGAAAAAGTAGAAAAAGAAGATTATTTGTTCGAGCAGACTAGAAAAAGGAGAGACAGTAGAGAGAGGGACGGGGCCACATCCCCCCACACTCTCTCTTTCTCTCTCTATCTTTCTATCTCTCTTTTCTTTCTTTCTTTCTTTCTTTCTTTCTTTCTTTCTTTCTTTCTTTCTCACTCTCGCGCGTTCTCTCTCTTTCTTTCTTTCTTTCTTTCTTTCTTTCTTTCTTTCTCGTTCTCTCTTTTTCCCTATCTTTATCTCTTTCTTTATCTCTTGTTCTCTTTCTCTTTCTTTCTCTCTTTCTCTCTTTCCTTTTCTCTCTCTCTCTCTTTTTATCTATATCTCTATATTTCTCTCTTTGTTTCTTTTTTCTCGTTCTCTCTCTCTCTCTTTCTCGCTTTCTCTCTCTCTCTCTCTTTCTTTCTTTGCCTCTTTCTCGTTCTTTTTCTCTCTCTGTCTCTCTTTCTTACTCTTTCTCTCTCTGTGTCTCTCTTTATCTCTCTTTCTTTCTTTCTCTCTCTCTTTCTCGTTCTGCCTCTCTCTTTCGTTCTCTCTTTCTCGTTCTGCCTCTCTCTTTCTTTCTCTTTCTCTATCTCTTTCTCTCTCTCTCTCCCCCTCCAACATCGTCATAAATGTGGATTACTAGCACCAACTCCAATTCTTCCGTCTGTTGTACGAAATTGGTTCACTATAAAAAAAAAATGGTGGCATTTGTTAAACCCTTACTATAATATGAACGCTTTATGCCTTCACAAGTGAATCTTTAAACACCTTTTTAAACATTGCCCACATTTATATTTACATACGCTCTATCTCTTTTACAATTAACAACAAACTCCTTGAAAATTGCTAACGGAGTGGCCGAAAGTGATTGGGACGAATTCTATATACAGCTTTGGGACAAATTTGACTATAGACACGACGGACAATTTTTGGCATTGCCTTACCCCCACCAAATGTGTAAATTTTAAGAATACTAGAAAAAAATCAATAAAAATGAATCAAAATTTCATGTCAATCATATTCAACGAAACATGTCTGAAAGAAGAGTTGTTACTTAAATGTACATTTTATACCTCCGTGTACATATACAAATGTCAAATATTTGGAGAAAAAAAAAGAAATGAAATGTCAAAAAATACAGTCCCACAGCTAAATGTCAAACATTATTTTGATATGGAAACAGTTCTGGTAAAAATAGCCTTTTCATGCAGGAAACATCTGATATTCTTTGACCGAACAGTTAGTCTGATGATGTTTGAAATTCTTTAATCATGTTTTTAAAGCAAAACAGTTTTGGGGAAAATTAGACATCTCAAGTCCATTAACAGTTATAGCTCGTTCTAATGGGAGTTTCCTTGCAAGCATTTTGTTTTTCGTAGTTTGGAAAGTCAACATATTGATTATGTCATTATTTTCCTTCTTATTTCATGTGCTACACATTTTTGCTTTTGCTGCTTTGGAAGTCTTGATATGTTATTTGTGATTGTGTAGCGCCAATCTATGAAAGATCGTATTCTTTAACATCATACATCATACATTCTTTATCGTCGTTTGACTTTCCAAGAGTTGGTTGGAGGTTAAGGAAAATCAGAAGAAAAGAAAGTGCCGATGACGTGAATTTGTTCAAGTTGGACCCTGACTTGCCAGGAAATGACCCACACACTTGATTTCATGACCTTCCTCTGCGACACATATGGAATGAGACATTTAGAATACAATTATGAACCTGCCGCTGACTGTTATAACTTTGAGTGGCGCCTTCTGTAGTATGTCCATCATGCGTAGCCCTCTTCAGCCGCTGGTTCAACCGTTGAGATCTGTTGCCATCCGCTTATTTGTATTTATATTCACCACTAGATTAAGTGCCTTAACAAGAGTATGCTTAAATAATTGGCATTTGCTGTGCCAAATACATCTTTTTTAACATGAACTTATTGATTCATCTATGTATGCGACATATTCACTATTGTATTAAGTGCATTAACAAGGAAGGGGTTATGTTGAAAAATGAATATGTGTAAAATACATGATTTTAGCAATATACGTTTCGAACTTAACTTTCAAATTCATTTAACTTAAAAGAAAATTTGTCACTGTAAAGTTCACCTGTCGCCCGGACAGTATCCCTTCCATGTTTATGGAACAGTAATAGAGGTTTATCGCCTGGTTTCCTCTTTAAGGTTTTCTTTATCGGCTCTTTCTTCTATGGTCAGAATGATTTAACTGTCTTAACTTTTTGGTCATCTGACTGATCAGTGGCCGCAAATTTTTATTAAGAAGGGCACAGGGTGGGAGTTTTCTGGTCGTTGCATTTTTCGAATATTCAATTTTATATTAAATCCTTTGTCTTTTTAATCACGTCATAATCCAATATTTTAGGGCGTTTCATTTTTTACTCTCATTCAGAGATTTCCGTTTTTGATGTCATATTCAAGAGAAAGTATCCGCTTTTGTTCTGGCCAGTATCCCAATGATGCACAGGATTGGCTTGGTCCAGCTACTTGGGGCCATTCCTCTGACTTCAAGAATTATTAAACCATATGTTTATATATATATATATATATATATATATATATATATATATATATATATATATATATATATATATATAACACAAATAACAACAGAAGCAGGTTCGTTTTGTTTTAAGTGTTAATAGCTGAACAGGACATGACGATATTTGTGTATATGCTTATATGCTATATTCTTCCTTGAGTGCCTGTTGGGGCCTAAACTCAACCCAGATCTCAATTGGAACTCGTAAACACAATCCATCGTTAAAGATGCTGGGAAAATGCTCAGTTTTCTGTACCTGACTCCTCCTGATATCCTCAACCTTTACAAGAGTCAGATCAAACCGAA